AAATGAGCTCTGAAATATGCTCATATAAAAGTCCTGTATAAACATATGTAAAAGTATATTTAACAATTTTTTAAGCCTTAAGTACAATTCCATAACTCATAAACTCTCTTACTTCAAATGGAAGGAAACAAATTAATATTTTACTCTTGCAATTCTCATTTATTTACTCTTGCAATATCAATTGTAATATTTATTAAAATCACAATTTACCCCTTTTTACTCAGAAATGTCTCTACCTCATTTGCCTATTCTATTTTTTACATCTATGACTCACTAAGCCACTGACAGAGAAGCCTCACTCGCCCACAAGCAACAGCAAAAGGATCAGTCAGAGACGCCACCTTTCTCTTACTTGGGTATCAAGATCTGCAACTTACTGCCAGCAAGCTCTTTCAGACTACCCTTGATCATGATTGTCTTATTTTTTCCACAATAATGTCCATGCACTTATTTATTAAGTTAGACTTGTACATATATGTGATATATAAATCAATATCAAAATGTATGTGATTGCAGACCAATAAATGTTAAAACAATAAAATACATAACAGTTTTAATCTGTAATCAAGCATAAGAAAAAAACTTTCACTGTCAAAAATACAACACTAGGTATATTTTTCTTATCTAACATTGAATTTGTGCAAAACATTAGCAACTCAGATATTTCATCTCTAATAGCCCATCTCTGTTCAATTAATACATCCATAGGTTTGACTCTCTTAGATTCTTTATTTGTCCTAGTTCTTCTTATGCTCTGCCTTTTAGATTGCTTCGATTTGAGAATGGCACTTTTGGTGTCCTGTTCATTGAAGACATTCTCACATTCATCAGAATGCAACTTCAGCTTTCTAATTTCATAGATAGTATTATCTTTAGAATCATTTTTTGTACTATGAAGATGTAATCAATATTCGAAACTGCTTTTTCTTCTCTTCATGCCAAGAAGTTTTCAGCTCTGAAAAAGCACACCTAGCTCCTAATTTCTACAATGAACATAAAAATAAATACCTATTTGTCTATATATACATGTTATATGTGTGCTTCCGGATTTATGCAATTGCATATATTAAATAGTAAAAACAAAATCTGAGTTGATTTTAAAATTATCATTTGACCTAGAGGAAAGACAACTCAATTTTGCTTAATTAAAAATTTACAAAAGACTACAAAAGATATGCCATTTTTTTCAAATCTGGGTAATAAAGACAGATAATTATCTATAATTTCAGGCCAGCAAGCTACAGATTTCGAAGTGTGTAAATTTGGGTCTAATGAATTTTTTCACCATTTTTTTTGGGGGGGGGGGGGGGGGAGCATTTTACCTGCTTGACCTTGAACATGTTGAGGTGCCCTTTTCTCTGCTCCTCCACATTAATCCTTTCATTTAGCAGCAAGATACTATGGATATGGTAAAAAGCTGTCATAAACAAAATATGAAAAATTAATAACAGGTGTGACTCTCCATAGAAAGAATATACAAAAAAGGAGAAAAAATATACAAACAGGGTATACTTATGACTAACATGACGACAGCAAGAAGATAACATTTTACACAATGAAAAAAATTCTCTGCGTCATCTAGTTAAGTGAATTGCATAAAAAAACATGTAGTTATATGTATAGATCAAATTTATAGACGAAAAAATATGATATGAAACATAACTAATGGTACCGTAGTCCGTGCACTTTACCAATGTATTTACCTGCTTGACCTTGAATATGTTGATGTGCGCAGCCCTTTTCTTCAAGTTCTTCCACGATAATTTATTTAATGTAGCAGAAAGATACTGTGGATAAAAAAAAATATTTAAGAGTAAACTTAAATGCAAAGGTTAGCATCTACAGCATTTAACATGCAAGTTATTGGGATAATGAACAAATGATTTAACATAAAGTAAAATATATTAACAACTTACACTGAAGATAGCAAGTTTTTAAAGTGGACAACAAATGCAAACTTCCAGTAAATGGTGGCAACCTCATACACAATAAGTTGTACAACAAATGATTATTTCGTACCTCATACTGGGTAGCCAAATATCTGGTCAAGTCAATTTCAGTAAGACAGCCTCAGCAAGTTCAATGTTGATCATTCCCATAGCTACTTCAAACTTTTCTGGCACAATTTCTGAAAGAAAAGATGTATCTTGCAGGGATTTTTATTCAAACTAGGAATACTTCTCATGAATGTAAAAAATTTGAAAAGTTTATATATGACCGACGAATACCAGACACAGAACAGAAAACTCGCTCGAGTCTTAAAATGGCTCAGGTGAGCTAAAATAAATCAATTCATGTGATTTTATTGATCTTATCAGAAAATTTAAGAAATCTTACCGTTGTGTTAATCTTCATACTGCTTTTGTCATTTTTTGTGAGCAGTTGGATTCCTGTAAATAATACATGCATAATTGTGCATCATAGAATGTGATAGCTATTTTTAATAATTCATGAATGCTTACGTATTTAACATAAAAAAAACTATGCATAGCTCAGAATCCATTGCTATTGTATTTTTAGGATAAGGAAAATAAGAATATAAACCTCGTATTGTCTACTTGGTATATAGCATTTCAAGTTGTTGCAATATTTTTTATACCCTTATGCATAAAGATACAAGTTAATAAAACATTGTTTGTTTATTTGTGATAATAGAAAATTTGAGCGGTATGGTTCTCACCATTTTCACAAGCTGTCTACATTTCCGGCGTTATGAGGAATCATCTCAGGCACAGTCCACACTGCAACTATTTAAATAATCAAAATAAGTACTTAATATATTCTTGAGTAGGCATTAAGAAATAAATAAATAATTTATTACATTGTACAACACCCTCTGTAAATGCTGAACACAGGAACACTTTAGTGACAAAAATTCTGAAACCAATCCCAAACGAGAAAATTCTGGTTAAAATCCATCTTTAAGTTAGGTGGTTAAAAGTGTTAAATAATTATTACAAAATGTAAATAGCGCTTGCCCAAACGTTTTTACTGCCAGGCATTTTATGTGAACAGCCCAGACTAAGGAACAGTAACATTATCAGTAGCAGAGGCAATTATTCATTCAAGGACACATGATAAAATTTTGTACATTGTTCCTACCGCTAAACAGGGTCGTAAATGTCTTCATCTTCTGTTAAAACATAAATTCCATCCAAAGTTTATCATGCTTCTCCTTTTCAAGTAACTCTCTTTCGCCCCTTCCTCCCGTACAACATCATGATCAAGTTCAACATGGCTGCGTGGAACTCTCCAAAAAATTGAATTTCGGCGCGATGTGTTGTTTTTAAATAAATTGCTTTTCGAGCCCGACTTCGATCCCGATGTAATTGTAGTACAGTGGTAGTCGATAGAGAAAAAAAAAACTAAGTTATATTCCACATTTTTGAAAAATCTACATAAGGGTTTAATAAATAAAAATGATAAATAAATAAATTTAAATGAATAGGGTGCCTAAATATTTTTTTTTTTCAAAAATGTTTCAACATAAGTTTACATTAGGTATAAAAAATTATTTATGACATATTCAAAATACCAAAAATGTACTTAAACTTTAAGTATAAGCATATTTACTTTAACATGTCGATATTCTTAAACGGGACGTATAATTATCTCAATTAAACTTTATTATTCTCGACGTATTTTGCATTAAATATGATTATACTTATTTGAAAACTGTATTTAATTATATCACAATATATATCATGTAAAATTTACCGTTATACATAAATTAAATTCAATACAAGAAATTTACTGGAGTAAACGAATTTATTAAATTATATTAACCCTTTCACATTCAGGCATTTTTGGCTAAATTAAAGGGCTGAAATAAAATTTCCAAAAAATGCTTCTAACAGGAAAAATACACGCCTGAAGATATATGTATTATATATGAAAAGATTTGTCTGTATGTCAAGATTAAAATCATGAAATAATATTTGAGTTGCCATGGCAACCATTTGTCACAGTGGTCGGATAAAGAGCACCAATAGCAAAATATTTGTAACGAAAATAATTGAAAACTTGAATTTAATTCCTTATAGTTTTTGCTAAAAGTTAAAATAGGTAAAACTAACCTAGTATACAAATAGCCTCAACATTCATGTTTTCACATATAGTGCATTTTTTGTGGTAACCATGGAGATACCTTTTAAATAAATGTTGCTAAGCAACGAGTCCATATGTCCAAAATTTGAAATTTTCCCCTTTTTAACAATAATCTGTGTTTTAACACATCATTTAGCAATTAATGCCAATTATTACCATCAAAACGTTTTTATAACATAACTATATTCAAGAAACACATAAGTAGTGCATGAAAAATTTATTGCCGTTGCCATGGAAACAGAAACATATGGCTACAGATTTGTTTTAAATAGAAATGCAATTCAATGAATTATAATTGTTTTTTAATAATTGTTATTTTTAGTCATTTAAATGGACATTAATAGTTCAAAATGGCATTTTTAAAACATATACTTTTTTCACATTTCTGTTGCTTAGCAACCACATCAGAAAGTATGTGACAGACACTTGGCAGCCCCACATTCCAAAACATTTGAAGGAAGGGGTTTGAGAATTTACCGTTTTCTACTTTTTTAATAATGAAGTGCAATGTAGTTTTGAAGAGGTATCAAAAATTCCCTTTTGACAAAGGATTTTAGTTACTCAAAACGTCTAATGACCTTGAACTTAGGTATTTTAAAATAAATTAATTTAATTTCCTAGTATGAATCATTCTGAAGAAGATATAATATTTTGTATAACATAACTTGCCTACGTCACAATGAGTTACATCAGAAACGTATTACTGCGCTTGACGTTATTTTTTAAATTATGCTCAAATTGATGCCTTTTCCGGAGGAAATATTGTCTCAATGTCTACACTTAAATTAAATTATAAGGAATGAGCTTATTTCAACTTATGTTATCCGAAACTTGAGGCAGTTTACACTTTTTTATAAACCACTTCGCGGTTTATAAAGCGTAAACTGCCCCAAGTTATGTTATATCGGATAACATAAGTTGAAATAAGCTTCATTCCATAAATATTGACACATGGAGAGGCCAATTGCTGCATCTTATAAAACACTCAAATTGTATATTTTAAGGACATACACAACGTATCTTACCTTCTGATAATTTTCCAAGATATTCTAAATTTAAACTTATAATATCATTAAATGTTCTTAGACAAAAAATCAGCATGCATTACCAGGGGTTTTGAAAAGATATCGAATTTTGAAAATTTTTGCATTATTCAAATAAAAATGTACAAAAATTAAAAAACATGAATTCCAGAATTTTTTTCCATCAAAAATTGTTTAAGAAGAGGAGAACAAATCTATATATAGACATTAAAAATATTGCACACAGGTCCTTCATTTAGTGGAACTCTTTAACTCCAAGGGAGAATCCAAAAAAGTTAAAACTACGTTGCGTATGACCTTAAATGGAATTTGAAAAAAACATATATACACATGGAGAGGTCAAAAACTCTAAACAAAAGTGATTAATTAAACCTCAAAGTTTCCTTTTTCTTCCCTTAGTTTTAGCCCAATCCTGAACTGTTCTTCCCTCCGGAGAATGCCACTTGAGAAAACAGTTTCTCTCTTTCTGCAAACAAAGAGGCACCTCACACTTAGCGCAAAAATACTGTGTCTTGGTACTTGGCAGTTTCTGTTCTTTTAGAGATGCCTCTCCATTGCAGTATATGCAGTCTTTCCGATTCACTGATATCATCGGTAAGCACTGAACTTTACAAACATTAGCAGGAACACGAAGTTGATCGCCATCCAAGTTCATCAAAGAAAGTGCAAGACTCTCACGGTACTCGAGGTGGCCAAAGGTACCTGAACCCCTATGAAGTGAACTTTCTGTCTCACACTTCATGAATTCCTTCATAATTATGTAGGAATTCACAATCATTATGTCTATACTATGAAAAAACAAAACTTTCCACCAATGGAAGATTGACTTAATATAGCATGGATACTTATTTAACATCTGGTTTGACTTGTCCACACCTCCCATATTGGTGTTGTAGTCCTTAATAACAACTGGTTGCATCAGCTGCTTCCTCTTATAGCCCGACCGCTCGTTTACAGTTCTCTGACAGTTTCCAGTTGCAGAGCCTTTATGAATAGGAGAAATAATGGTCACAGTTTTGCAGTCTCTCCACTGCACATACACAAAATCACCGTCCCTATGCCATCGAAAATCTCCTCGAGTGGACACCTTTTCAAACAATTCAATATCTTTCAGGCAACTGGGCATAGCACTACTGGATCTTTTCACGGCACCTACCAGATATGTCTTTTTCTGTAATAGATCTGTAGCTAAATGTTGGGTGGTATAAAAAGAATCAGTATAAATTCTATATCCTTGATTGAAAAGTGTCCTGCTCAATTCCATCACCACATTGTATGCAAGTCCCTTTGTTTTGTTTTTGAGTTCTGTTCTCTTCTTGCCAAGGTAAACAAAAAATGCATAGGTATAGCCGGTGATAGAATCTGCAAGCACCCACAACTTTAGACCAAAACGAATAGGTTTGTCACGGATGAACTGCCTGATTCCTGAGTAGTGATGCTTGGATGCTACCATCCTTTCGTCCACAGACACAGACTCGTATGGCTGAAACAAGGACTGCGATATGGATTCCACATGTTCCAAAAGATGGCGTATTCTTGTCAGCTTATCATCTGAAGAGAAGTGAAACAATATTTTATTATTTTAAAACCCATACATGTGTATAATACATGGATATAGTATAAGAAAAAAGGCTTCATTTGGCAATGTGTCATTTTTCAAATACATGTACAGTCTTCGACAAATTCCGGGAGTCCGATGCCCGGGACCTGGTAAAATTGGAAGTGGGCATGTTGAAATTGTACACTTACAAGCCCGAAGGGCATGTTAATTCTAAGGCATAAGCCTCGGTATAATTAAATTAAATAAGACCCATACCATAAAATTTACTTTAAAGTATTTGATTTTCCATCTAAGTGAAGTAAAAAAAAAGTAAAATTTTACCGAAATCTTATTTTACCGTGATCTCCAATTGAAGGAACTCTTTCGCAAAAGAGACACAAAAAGAGTACAGGTTGAAAACAAATGGCGGGACAAGAAATTGACAGATTGTATTTTCAGATTAAATAAGAATAAACTTGATAAAATTCTGGGCATGTAAATATTTGTTCGGGCTTGCGTAATTGGTGATCACACCTGCCCAAAGGGCTTGTGCTGAAAAAAAGATTTGGCGAAGACTGCTGTATGTCCATAAACTGAGAATTGAATTTTTTTATAGTTACATTTGGATTCCCTTTGAAGACCATTATTAAAATTTTGCCCCTTACTGAAGTAGCTTGGGATTACATAAGCCTCAATACATGATAACATACATGTAACATTGTAATTTGGGTATTATGAATAATATTATGTATTTCCTTACAAGAAATATCTGCTCACCTTTATCAGAATCAGCATTGATTTGCAGAAAAGACAAAATGGCTTTAAATCTTGTGATGCTCATGACAGATGAAACAACATTGTTTTTGTACAGGGGACAGGTTGACCAATATCTCTCTAAAGTTTGGAAATTCACAATAGACACGTAGATTAGAATGCCCACAAACCTGAAATTGAAAATAAAGTAAACCATCTATTTAATTTACAAAATAGCATATTTAAAATACAATTATCCCAAAAGTCTTAAGTATATAATTTTATTACAATTCAAAACCTCAAACCCAAGATCCAAGTCAATCCCCCCCAACCCCCATGAAAAAACAAGAGATCATGGGCCACATCACTCAACCTGAGTAACTTGGGTGATCCAGTTCTTTACCAGATTCCCCCTCTTGCTATACCTATCGTACCCCACTACCCTCTTCCCTTTTATGATTTTAATACTCTAGAATCAACACTACCCCAGGATGCTTTGACACAAGTTTCAGCTTTCTTGGCCCAGTGGTTCTTGAGAAGAAGATTCTAAAAAAGATTTTTCCTAAATACAGTGAATATCTATGTAAAACTTGGATTTCCTATTGTGGCCCCGCCCTATCCCCGGGGGTCATGATTTTTAAAATTTAATATCTACACTACCCAAGGATGCTTATATAAAAGTTTCAGCTTTCCTGGCTCAGTGGTTTTTGAGAAGAAGATTTTTTAATGACCCCACCCTATTTTTGTCTTTTCTTGATTATCTCCCCTTGTAAGGGGACGTGGCCCTTCATTTTAACAATTTAAATAAACTCCCCTTCACCCAAGGATGCTTTGTACCAAGTTTGATTAAAATTGGACCATTGGTTCTTGAGAAGAAGATTACAGACGGATGGACAGCTGGACGGACGGACAACGGACAAAATGTGATAAAAAAACTCACTTGAGCCTTAGGCTCGGGTGAGCTAAAAAGTGTTTGAAACTTGCTGTAAAATTTGCTTTAAGGTCAGACGACATTTTCCTCAAAGATATGTCATGTTTCTCTGGGTATTATATAAAAAAATATTTATATCTGTCATTCTCTTCTGATTTCTACATTGTTTTCAAAATGTTTTAGTTATAAGTACACCCAAAATTGTGATATAGACCATTCAAGAGATTGCCCATAAGGGTTATATATAAGAAATATGACCCTGTGGTATCTTGTCCAATTGCCTGGTAACGTATCCTAATTTTTTGTTAGGAAACTTCTTTAAGTACCTTTACTTCAATGACAAAGTCTTAGGAAAAATTATGTATTTTTGAGGAACTTGTCGTCTGACCTTAAGCAATAATGTGAATGGCCAGATCACCATAACTTTGATATTACACTTTGCTACCGATACTGTAAGTTGATTTGAGAAGTCTTGAAAAAAACAACTCACAAAAAAGGTATAAATCAAAATAAAGGTGTTGAGCAAACTTGAATCCCCTTTTACCTAGTAAGGATACTTTGTGGCAAGTTAGGTTAAGTTTGGTCTAGAGGTTCTAGAGAAGTTGAAAATCAATGTAAAATGTTTACAGACAGACAGATGCCAGACTAAATGAGATACGAGAAAAGCCTATTGGAGCTAAAAAAAAAAACATCATACTATACTCCAACTCTGACAGACTAAAAGTTGTCTTGTTCATAACATTATTTCATAGATTACCTGTACATCTCTTCAACAGTGACCCTTGTCCAGGTACCCATGCTGTTTGCATATGAAAGATTCTGACCCTTGGATAGCAGAGCCTCTGCATGGTGATTGGTGGCAATACAAATCTGTAGCACTATCTCTTGGGTCAGGAACAGTAGGAAAAAATCAACTGGCTTCTGAAAGGCCTGAACTGCCTGTCTAAAAATTACATAATTGTTGTAAAAAAAAAAAAACTGAATGCAAAAATGTGTGTTTAAATCAAACATATTTTTACGAGCTTTCAGTCAAACATAACTTTCACAAGCTTTCAATCAAACATATTTTTTACAAGCTAAAGAGTCATGTTGCGCAGTGGTTAGAGTGTCTGCTCTAGAGTCACAGAGTAAGGAGTTCATTCTTACGTAGCAGGTTCAAATCCCACTGTGAGACATGAATTCCAGATCTTCATATCTAATGAGACTGTATAAAGTAAAACTCAGGTTTTGTGTCGCAGTAGGTGCAGGCATGAAAAACATCCCTCACTGCTCAATGGCCTTGAGTGCAAAGTATAGGACAAAATTTGCAGCTCTCCACAGGCAAATGGTGATGTCTTAATCCTTGTGAGTGAAAAAATCTTGAGAGGGACGTTAAACAAATGAAAACAAGAAATCAATCAACACAAGCTAAAGATGAACAGATAGTTGTATTGCAGAAATAATTTATATCTATTTAATTATTCATATGACTTGTAATGGATGTTTGCAATTTTCATACTAACTGGCAAACTTAACTTCCCTTTGCCTTTCATACAAGTATGAAGTAAATGCATTTATATTAGTACCTGGTTAAGAGGCCAAGCTGAATGCCAGGAGGAAGACGTGGTTTAAACATAGACAATCTGGGGTCCCTAACTCCATCATCATTGTCATTCTGGTCTCTCCAGTATATATGTCCTGCCACTGGATCCTGACTAGCAGAGCTATCCGTACTCTGGGACAGAGTCTGGGAACTGCTCGGAGACTGGGATTGACTGAAATACAATTCAAAAGTATTTCTTGTCAAGAAACTACAGTGAACTAAGAATATGTTTTTGAGAGTGTACTGATCTTAATAAAAAGGCGCTCAAAATTAATATATGTACATTGTTCAATGTATTGTTTTGTGCAGTAAACTTGTACAGATAGTTTTAAAAAAGTCTAGTTAAGGGAGAAAAAAGTTCCATATAGGCCTATATGTCCATGAATGAAGGAAAAGTATGATATGTCTAATGGAGAAATGTTTAAATAGCACGATTTCGTACGTACTGTACAGTAGTTATCAATAAGTATAAAAGTTATGTATACTGGTGTCTCATAATATCGCGGTACTTAATCCTTTTGCATAAAAAGTGCTATTCCAATTTTTTACTTTAACTTTCGTCAAATACTATCCATAAACCAATCTATGGCCTAACTTTTCAGTTTTAAATCATTTCTCAAGTTTGCATTGTTTAATTTGTTGTCTATTTTTAAAAAGGGAAGTCTTATTTACATCCTAAATTGGAGAGTCTCATAGTATCGCGGCATAAGAAAACATGGAAACTTGTGGCTGACATGAACTTTAATTTTTACTTTTATATTTACGGTGTAATTCTACATAAAAAATAAACAATTATACAAACTAAAGACTTTCAAAACATGAACTTTATTATGGTTTTGCTAGGTTATAAAATCAATGATCTAAATATGATAGAAACGGGAATGGAAATATGTAAAATTACGTTTTATTTGAATAAAAAAATTACCGACACATATTCCATACTTTTCAATCATCACAAAAGTTTACATTCGGACGACAAACAGATAGTATTTCAACAGAAAGGATATGAGCTATGTATCTGAATTTTTGGAATATACCGCGATACAATGGAACCCGCGATATAATGAGAAGCGAGTATACATTGATTCTGTTCCATGAATAACATATTATTTTTACGAACCGTGGAGTGTAACGGGCACCTGTTGCTCATGTGCTGTATACAGTATCTTGAGTAAATGATGTCGAGATTATCCCTCATAATTTTTTTTATTTACATGTAGGATCAAAATAATTCCGAAGAAAAAAGAAATGTTAGGCCATAATAATAAACTACGATTTAATTATTTTTATATTAGGTCTCAGTAAAAAAAAAATTCTTGAATTTTTCTACAGCGTGTAGCCTATATCGCTGTCGAGGCTGTTATAAACTTACCTGAATTGATGGGGGTTTGATGGATCAAATTGTTCATCGTTTTCGTCTCTTTCCTCAACAAGTTCCCCACTCAACAATAAATCTAAATAATCTTCTTCGTCTTCTGAAAGTAACTCGTCAAACTCAAAATCCATGTTCACCGCCGATTGTTTACCTTCTCAATAATAGTGCCGGAAGCGCTTATTGCGCCCTCTTTTTTTCTTTTCCGCAAACCGCGCGAAAATTCAAATGTAATTGGCTTTTCAATGTGGATTATGTATCGGATTTATTCAACTGACATCTTTCAAAAATATACCAAATGAAAGGTACATTCTTCTACTTTTCAAAACTTAATTTACATTTTCCTATTCCGATTTTACTTTTTGTGGATACGTGTTTATAGTCGATTGTTTATGTTTTACGCCAGTGCCAGTTTGACTACTGTATTAAAGCCAAGAATTTTTCAATTCTTTTATTACATATCTGTGAAAAAATTATATCAATAGTTTCTTCAAAATGTCAGCATTTTTAGGTAATAAATTTTTTGTTGAAACATTACCTCTATTTTTTACAATAACGAGGAAAGTTGTAGAAAACGCGCACTAATAAAACTCATAATTTCGGAGTTTTTTCTCGCAGTGATGTCAGAATTAACCGATAATTGAGACATAAAATAATTAAATTTCATAATCGTTTTGCATATAATTATATTCTACGGAGTCTCACGATTAAAATGGTACCTGATTTTTTAAAATCCGTTAATTTTAAGCAAAACTATTAATTTTTTTCAGCAACATGTCAGAAAAAAGAAGGCTTATCGGTCAGTATTGACCGATACGAACGTGAAAGGGTTAAACGCGACTTTTCATGCAGTGTTCAATAGGCAAGAAAAATTAAGAAAACCATGAATCTTGCTTGAGAAATAAGACCGGGATAATTTTCCAACGCAGATCTTCAAGAAGTTAATTCCGCGTTGTCACTATAATCAGAACTGTGTCTGAACTCTCACTTCACAACGTATTTTATAATAAAATAATTTAATAGAAAACGGCAACATATAGACCTACAATAATTAAAAGGGATTACCGGTTATGTACAGGACTATCTGGGTAACGGCATGATGTTATAAAAATAGTAATTAACACTTACAAATTAACTAATTGCCCTGCGAACTCTATCTGAAGAGGTATATAATTAATTCCAAATAATCTTAATTATAAGATGTGTAAAAACACTAAATAAAAATCTCTGCAGCGCTTTCCTTTCTAAAAAGAAATACAGAAGGGAATTTAAGGAAATTGCGCTCAAATTTACATATATTTTATTTTTTTCCAACTAACCGATTACGGATTTGCTAACCGATTAGCATCGCTCCGACCGATTAATCGATTAACCGGTTACTGAAAATCTGTAATCATGCAAAGTATGGATTAAAATATTACATGCAGTGAACATGAAGAATACAGAGATAATAATCTTACTAATAAAACTGTGATCAACTATCACGCTGCATACAAAAATCGCCAGCCGAATTTCTTGCAAATAAACTGTGCAAACTGCAGTATAAATATTACTTCATTCTGAAATACATCTTATGAAAAATGATATAAAACAGTTTGCAAAAAAAATGAAGATATTATAAGGTTTTTTACATATATAATTACTAGGAATAAACATGAAGCAGGAATAGTCATATTTATTTCTATAGATCAATCAATTAAAAATAATTTATAATTTTGCATAGCGTTATATGTATAGAACAAGATTATATCCGGTATATATTAATTCCTTTTAATTATGTTACAGCTTTATTTTAAAGTGAAAATATATTTCATTTAATTTTTTTTTTCCTTTTTGAAATGAAGGATCAGCATACGTAAAAATTAAATACGGAAATATTTCGATTTTATATATATTAATACATATCTATACATAATGCCAAAGACATCAGTGGGATGATGTTTTTTCTTCCTTTCATTTTTTTTTTCATTTTTCCTCCATCACCGCTGTAGTGTAAAATGTTTAAATTGTAACTGAGAAATTAATTTGTTATTGGCTGAAATATAATTATAAACATGCATTTAGTACTTCAAAAGTCATTTAAAATGAATAAATTTTAAGCATCCAATCAAGAATTAAATCTAAAAGGCTCCGCCCACTTCATTTGCATACCGTTTCTCAAAGCGTACCGTTTTCAAAACGAACCGTTCCGTGCAAGAAACGAAACATACCGTCCACAAAGCATACCGTGAACAAAGCAAACCGTTCCGTGCACAAAGCGTACCGGTCCGTGCACAAAGCGAACCGTTCCGTGCACAAAGCGTAAGGTACCGTTCTCAAAACGAACCGTTCTGTTCACAAAGCGTACCGTTCCGTGCAAGAGCGTACCGAACCGTACAGTTCAAGTGGTGTAGTAGCACAGTTTAGGGTCTGTATAATACATATGAGACTAATCTGTTTCCTAAAGACTGTGTATAATTTATCATGTATAATTTATCCAAAAAAAAAAAATCCATTGTATATGATTCTCTTTTGGTCACACGATCCCTGCAAAAACCTTGGCTTTTTACTTAAGGATTTAATACTGAAAACTCACAATCCATCTCTGGCTGATAGATTGTAATAGTTCTATTGTCGTTTTTTTTTATGGTTTCTTTCAGTGGCAGCCGACTTTTTATTCCTCCTTTAGCAAGCAGTTCTCTGCGTTGCCTTGACTTACAGAAAAAAAACTCGATCATGTAACCTTAGTACTTCCTAAATTTGACAGGAATGGTACAAAATGATAACATAAGCTCTCTCTGTCTGACTGCCTTCTGTGTTAAAAACTTAGCAGTGTTTTAAAGTTACTTTCTGTAATCTAGCATAACGAAAGATATGCCTCATCGAAAAAAATGAAAGTTTCAGACCGTTAATGTAAAACAGTTTTCTATTCACGGCAACTTTATACATACAGTGATATTAACCGCAAATAAAGTTGCTTGCGTATGCTAAAATGTATTGACAATCAAGTTTATTTCAAGATATTTCAACCAAGAAAATATATCTTTTTTAATTATTTCCTGCATCCAACTTGACCTGTCACAGTTGACGTTTTTACTTAAGGCAACATTTCTGCCAGCTTTATGCTGTACCTGCTTTAACAATTGCATGTGTACATTTTTTCATTACGTCTTTGCTTACCTAGTTAACAACTGTGAATTCACTATTTTCTGTAAGGTATTTATTTCCGTGGTTCTTAAGATATAAAATAAAAGACCCATGAATGTATGTCTATCATAATATAATTTCTCCAACTATATTACTATTAAATAATTCTTTAACCATCAAATCAAGTCCTCATAAACGAATATATTTTTTTCAAACCTCGAAAATATGTGATGTTAGAGTTTCATGAAGACGATAGCATGACGCTTAATCTCTATTTTTATCATCTGGTTTAAGAACATTACACCCGACTTGTTAACTGAAGGCTTTAACATTACACCCGATTTGTTTCTTTGTCTCTATGTGCAGATTAAGGATTATTTCAACAAGTCCAATGACCACTTGCCTTTTTAAGTTAAAATAATAAGTGTGCGATTCATGTGCAACATTAGCTATTCACCATTTTAGTTTTAACTGTATGTCATTGAAATTAAACATCATGAATACACAGTAGATATTACAAACAGGATTCGGAAACACGTTTTACAACTTATATTATTTCCTTTCCTTAAAAAAATTCACCAATCTGGGTCTCATTCATGGGCGTCGGAAGCAAATTAAAAGTGGGGGGAGGGGGTTAATTCGAAAGTGTGTGTGTGGGTGGGGCGGGGCATATCAACAAAAAAGGTAAATCAAAATTACCACTGTCTCTATAATGGTTAAGCCCCCCCCCCTCAGGTCTTGACGCCTTTGTCATTTTAACAAGGTATTACGATTCTCTTTGAACATCTATTATAAGTACTTTTCATTTTTTTTTATTTTTAACACGCTTAAAAGTATCCTTATAGAATTCTCTGATATTTGTATCTTACAAATGTACGTCTTTTATAAGACTCAAAAGTAAATATAATAATGATGATTTATAGTGTTACATTAACATTTAGAGGCTTATGTATCAAAGTTGAAATAAATCAATAAATTCTTTATAATGTCTTAGAGTTAGATAATTTTTCACTTTGAATTTTAGAAAATTGCTGATTTCCAATTTCATTCAGTTTGAGATGATGAAGGAATATATATATCAAAATCACATATTTAAAAGATACATATGTAGCTAAGAAAAAAAACATTGTACAACATCATAACATAACAGGCATTAACTAAATTAAAAACAGAACTCCTTTTTTTGTTACATTTTAAAATGCAATTTCAAAATAAACGTTTATGAAAATTCATGACAATTCATATGAACTTCGATAAAATCGATACCGAAACAATAGTGAAATATAGAATACGTAACAGTTAGCCAATCGCTTTTCAGACATTGATTATGGTACGATATATATATCTGGCTGTTGAAAGACTATTTAGCAGAATTTCATAGATTCACGAGAACGCGGCAGATTTGTACGCAGCAAAAAAAAAAAAAAAAAATGAGCAATCAGTGGGTTATCACTTTAATTGCAGGCTTCTTAGCTTTATCTAAAGCTACCATTATTTCTCAGAAATATACAGCGAAACTTGACTTTAATGATAGGAAGTCAAACAATGACCTTTTAGGGGAACATTATGCTAAATCGTTGACTGAGTGCGCCACCATGTGTCAAAGGGAGTGCGTGTTTTTTGGTTTTAATCCTAAACTGAAGAAATGCCGTACCCACAAGAAAAGTCTAACGTCTGGTACGTCTGAGGAGGCCGGCTGGAGATACTACTCAGATAACGGTATTTATATATGTTTTTTTTTTTTTATTCTTTTAGCTTCTTTGATTTTTTTAGGTCCTTCTCGAGGGGACAGAATATTTTTTTTATCAAGTTTCCTGTACTTTTTTTTTTTTTTTTTTTAGATTTTTCTAGCATGCCCAAAGATTGCAAAGATCTTCAAGAAAATGGACAAACCATCACAGGGGTGTATGATATATACCCCTACAGAACATTAACCATTCCAATAAGTGTTTACTGCGACATGACCACGATGGGCGATGGATGGACGGTAGGATTATTTATTTTATAATTAAAAGTACTTAATATAACACACCTTGTATCGATGATTTTAAGAATTGTAGGATTTTATTGTAGTTTATATCATAACCTATGGATCCTATGATTGTTCGAAGCAATATATTGAATTGTTACGCATGTTAATTTTCAAAGGCCATTCAGAAACGCGTAGACGGATCCGTGACCTTTGACAGGACCTGGACGGATTATAAGAATGGCTTTGGTTCACCAGAACAGAACGTCTGGATTGGTAAGTGTAAATCGGTTTCAAATAAGAACTTTTTATTCATTCAAAGTTTGAAGAAATTCTTGTGGCAAGTAAAAAATCATAATGCCTAATGAAGATCTAAAGTTAAGACCAGGTAATGTGTGTTCTACGATATTCAGATATCGTGTTTAATTGATATTTCAAATAATAATGAAAAATAGAAAAGAAGAATATCATTTAGCGGCATATTCAAATTAGACCAAATTTAGCAATATTGTCTACAGCTATGGAAAATAATCTGATTTTTCATTACGGTAGATTCAAATAAATTTTAAAAGAATTAATTGTATTTGATGAACTTCTCAGATGATTTAAAATATAGCTTATTACAGGGAATGACGTAATCCATAAATTAACAAAAGAAAAGACCTCATCCCTGTATGTAACCATCACTCTCCAGAATGGTACAACGCTGTATGAAATGTATGACCGATTCTCTGTCTCCAATGAAGCAGGGAAATACAAACTCTTTCTTGCAGGACCTGCCAGGGGAACTTTAGGTCTGTGTATTCACGTTAAGTTCTAAAAATCAGGTTCAAATTACGTATATCTTCATAATTATTCTGTTCTGTATTGACAGGTTATAAAGTTCTGGAAAAAGAGAGAGAGATGTGGGTTTTTTTTGTATTCTGTTTACGTTTTTGATTCCACGCTAATTAAACAAATTTAGTGTTTCAGAATATCACTTGCAGGTACCATTCACGTATTCAGCAGATATTAAATTTGTTATTGTCAAGCAGATAAAATTTCTAATTATACATTTTATGTACAAGGAAAATTATGTAATTTTTTTAAACAAATAAATCCAATAATTACATTTGTTCAACATTATTATTCACCTTGGGTTTCCTGATTTTTGATAATTTACATTTTAACTGATACGGAAAAAGTTTACAGAACATGATAGTCTGATTTTCGATGATTCACATTTTTTACTACTACGGAATAGGAAGTCTACTGTGTGTCATTGATCTTAAATGTCGAAAGGTTTACGAAAATTTGATGACAAAAAAATTTTGATCGGATAAAATTTCAAATAAAAAAAAGCTTAAAAAGCCAAATTCAAAAGACCTCACATTTAAATTTATTTAATAGGAAATCTATCATCTTATAACATTCTTATAACATTCACAGATACACCATATCTTATCTCGTTATTAATGATTTACTTAGTATTGCATGTCACACCTGTTTAAAGACACGGTCTCGGACAAGTATTAAATTTTTATTTTGCGATGTTTTCTTACATTTCCAGTGACCTTTATCCCCCCCTCCCCCAATAATACCATGCTTAAAAAGTGTAACACGTCTGTTGTTTATTGTTACACTAGAAAGGATGCTATGTGAATTGTGTAGTGTTTTGTTTTGTATTATTTTTATCTCTCTTTTCAGTAAACAACACGTTAAACTGCGTATCTCCGTCGTACTTCAGTATTAAAATCAATGTGATATAAATTAATAATTATTATCTCTGTTTTATATCGTTTTTCTAAATCTGCAGGTGCCAGTATTAAGACACAGGAAATTCAAGGACTGAACTAAATAAATATTATCACTCTTTCCATCACCTTAATCTGTCTATCTTAGAAGTACCTCAGTATTATAAATGACAATTAGATAGAAGAATTATACATCAATGATCCTTGTGATTTATTTTGTTTAATTTTACAGGGGACGCTATGTTAGATACAGGTAATTCTGCCGGAGATCTGTCTGGGATGTACTTCAGTACCCTGGACAGGGATAATGACAGGCGGAGTAATTGTAACTGTGCTGTTGTGTACGGAGGAGGCTGGTGGTATAACGGCTGTACCTACGCCTCCCTTAACGATCAATGGTCCCCGGAGTCCTGGACCATACCATGGTATCCCACAGTAACGATTTGGATATCAGTGAGGGGGACCACCATGATGATCAGACGGAACTAGGTAAACATCATTAAATCTTAATATCCATTTTTTTTCTTTTTGTATCACTCTGAAATTTTCAGTTATAAAAGTTGCTTTTTTTGGAAATAGAAAAAAAAATATGCTACTATACATTTATCTGTAAAGTATTGATTTAATTGTTTTGACAGACGAAAGATCATCCATGGATTATGGAAACCCTCAAGAGACGATTTTAAATTAATTTTTATCGCTGAGTTCTTTTTTTTTATATTTAACATCAAGTAACAAACAGTAAAAGAAGGTGGTTGAGGGCTCTGCAAAGCGATACTGGATGTACATGTATTCAGTAAAAGATGTATTTTATATGTGTTGTAATAAATTTGAAAATAGAAATATTTCGGTGTTATTTACAAACACTGATAAATGGAGATAACTGGGCTGAGAATAAGGATGAAGATTACTTTATTGTTAAACCTATTACAGTGGAACATGTTTAATCCGACACATGCAATACTCTTTACTGTGATTTCAGCCATTTAATTTCGTTTGTCATTTATAATTGTCTCAATGATCTTTACACACTGCAATACTACATCTTGTTTATTCCAACACATATATTTTTAATCTGTTCCCCGTGCATGTCGGATAAAACAAGTTTCATTGTAATAAAGATGTTAAGATAATTTTTTTTAAATCGGCTGTAATTTTTTATTGTGTTTTTTTTTAATTTCAAAACACTCTAACACAAATCTTAAAAGCAAAATTTGAGATCATTTAAATGATCATTTAAATTCATTATTTAGGCTAGAGATAATTTAAGTAAGTTAGAAAAAAAATCAAATTTGCAAAACAAGACAAGGAGTTAGAAAAAAATGAGCACCGATTTATTATATTTTGAAAGATGATATCTTATATTTGCAACTGCTTTTGCAAATAAAAAGCAAGCTAACATTAATCAATATGTTTGCTAAAACTTTTGTAATTATGAGACTACATCTTTAAAAAAAATGATTCAATATGTGTGACAAGTCATTCTCCTTTATGCAATGTGTATACGATAATTTATATACTAGTATATCCAAAGATTTGATAAACTACAACTTGAAATTTGTTATAAAATCAATACTAAAAGTTTTAGGAGCTAATGATAAAAATTCAAGATAAGTTTGTGAAACAAAGAGGCTTAGGATAAATGTTGTCGTATGCAGGTCAAACACCAAGGTCAATATAAAAGTAGTTTTGGTACCAAGAGAAACGTTCCTCACAACGAGTCTACCTTCTAAAATAAAAACCATAAAAGCAGCAACAGTTCAGTAATTATGACCAAAGTTAGAGATTTTCAAAAGTAGGTCAAACTGGACAAGGTCAAGGAGTCAATATTAATGATGCCCAATAGAATTTCGGAAAGAATACACAGGGGAAATATTAAAGTCACGAAATCAACCATTCAAAAATTATTACCAAAGATTTTCAAAAGAGGTCAAAGTCAGATGTCCAAATAAAAGGATAAAGAATAAAAAGAAAATATTAGTATTCAAGAGAAGCTCCTACCACAAGAAATGAACCGGTAAAGAGGTTAACCCTTTGTACTAAATTTTCAGTAAATACCTCCAAAGTTAACGGTTTTGAAAAGTAGGTCAAATCCATAAGATCAAGGTTAAAGGTCATTGCTGCTTGTACTCAAGAGAAGGTCTTAACACAATATAAGCGTGAGGAGTATGATATCACTTGATTTAACTGTGTGGTAGCTATGGCTAAGAATAAGATTTTGAATATTTCTTTAAAAGTGAGTCAAACATAAAGGTCAAAGTCAAAAATACTTTAACACTAGGAAAAGTTTTAACATATTGAATACACCAGTGAAATATTATAGCCATAGTTCATATGACCAAGGCTCAAATTCCAAATTTCAAACTGACCGTCAAACTAAAGAAAAAACCTGTGAAATATGAAATTCATAGCTCAAACCAATTAAAGGCTTTTGTCAGGGCTAACTGATTTCCCGACTTATAAATACATCAGGAAAAAAATTACATACAAACAGACAACTGGACCGACCGTCACAGCAAAATATATTTGCCCCTTATTTTTTGGATTACGAATAGAAATTTTAGAAACAACACTTTGTGCTAAAATGTTTGTATGTATGGTTAGAGGAGATCCCAGTCAGTTTCCTTGGGAAAATAACGACACAATATAATGCACTGTCTGTCTTTGTGTGCATGCTATTATTTAAAACATGAAGATAAATCTAGATGTCTTCCGAGGAGACGAATATACAAACCGAGGATAAATCTAAATCTCTTCCAAGGAGAGGAATTTACGATCCGAGGATAAATCTAGATGACTTCCGATGAGACAAATATAACGTTAATCGAACGTTAACTTAAGAATACTCCATTTAATGATTTAGAACTTTATACACCATGCTTAATGAAATTATATAACAAAAGATAATGGTTGCAAATGTTTATTTTAATTTAGAGAGAATGAATCATTATGTAACAGAACACTCTTCATGCTCCAAATAAAATGGAGAATCCTCACAAATAAAGAAGAGTTAAAGTCCGTCTTCTCCTGTATTGTACGTGTAGTTTCTCTCAGTCACCCAGCGCCACCTGCCGTCGTTATGATAAGTCAAAAGGAGGCCAAAGATTTGGTCAACTGCTGTCACGCCCTCATCGTTAGGATTCCAGTTCTGATAACTTGTGTCCAATTATCAAAAATGAGTCTTTCATTGTCGTCAAATGTCAAAACATTGGCACGAAATGCAAAGAAATCGTTCAGATCAACTTCTTCAGAAAAAGGACAAGAAAAAAAATTATATCATCTTCAGATTTGAAACACAAACGATACAATATGAGTTGTTGCTTTACGTCCTGTATGCTCTAAAAATTATAAAATTTGATCCGCTGTATCCAAGGTCAGTAGACATTAATTTTGAAGGGAAAGTATTCTCTTTTTTGCGTCGTGGTATGTGTAACAATAGAATGGTTTCTAACGAGCATTAGCAAACCTAAGCCAAACTTTATTTTAATTTTGAATAACAAAGGAATATAATGTTCATGGGTGAAATTAGAAATAAACCATTTTAATACATTGCACAAATATATTTTCTAGAATTAATGTGCAGTTTTTTATTCAAACTCTAAAATCAGGTTTGTAGAAAGCAAAAATTTAAAAAATAAAATAACGATATAATTTTTTATCAAAGGTGTTTAGATATGATGTACATATTTTTTTTATGAAAGAGTATCAATTTTTTGATCAAATACAAATTCGAGAAATTTGACAAAAATATTTTTTTGTTAATGTACGCGTGTGATAAAAATGAAAGCATGTTATGAATTAGTTGCTTACATATATAGCCAGGTTTATGGGGTTTACGCCTTAAAACATCCTAAGAAACAACAGCATGCAATAACAAGATGTGTTTGTGAAACACTGATGCCGCCATATGGCAACATGGCGAAGGATAAGCTTTCTCAATTGCAGATCAAATACGTTGGTTACCAACTAAACTCCACTAAATCGAAAGCTATGGGCATTATTAAAGTTTTTGCGTACAAACGGACAAACAGACAGACACACGAAGAGAGAGAAAGAGAGAGAGAGAGAGAGACAGTCAGACAGAGGGACGGACACGACCAACACCCCCGAAACTTTGTTCACGCGGGCATAAAAATGCTTTATTGACCACATTGTATATAGTCAAGTTATCTGATAAGTAGATTGTTTAAATACCCGAATGGAAACAACCATATAATGTATCTATGTTGTAAGTACCATTGGTCCCTTGTTTATCTACCTTTGAAAATAATAAGATCCTAATGCTTCAGAATGAATTTTAGTTCAGAATATGTTATAAATTTTATATTTGAATCCAAATCAAATCCATATTGATCAAAATTACTTAAAAGTAAAGAAAATTTAGGGATTAAAAGAATCTGAAAAAAACGTTGTGAGAGTGTTGGTAATATCACTCCCCTACCGGCAAGTTTGATCTGATTCCCTCTAAAAGTAAAAATTTTATTAGAAATCATTGAAGTGGAACAAAAATAAAGAAAATTATCTATAACTCATAACGGTCAAGCAAAATACACAGAAGCTGGATGGACGGATAAACAGGCGGACAGGTGGGGGACCACAGCAGAGGACACCTTTAGTCCATCGGGTTTCACCGACAGGCGACTAGGAATATGTTACTTAAATATAAAAATTCATTTCGTTTTCATACAAAAAATCAGCTCAAAATCTGCCAGTGTTTACATGTAGAAAAAATGCAAAAAACAGAGTGGGAGAGACAGACAGAGGGGCAGAGAATAAGCTAGGGGGCAGATATACAGAAAGACGGGCGAGAAGATGGATGCACAGAAAACGTTTTTCTCTGGTTTCACAGGTAGCTTCATTAAGCTTCATTAAGCTTTCATTTTGTTTGTTTCGTTTTATAATTTTACCGGGCAAGAATAAAACTCCTCCTTCTTGTCTACAATTTCAAAAAAAAAACTCTTTCTTGTCTACAGTATGAATAAAAATCCTTCTTCTTGTGTAAAGTATGAATAAAAATCCTCCTTCTTGTCTACAGTATGAATATAAATCCTCTTTCTTGTCTACAGTGTAAATAAAAATCCTCTTTCTTGTCTACAGTGTGAATAAAAATCCTCCTTCTTGTCTACAGTATGAATATAAATCCTCTTTCTTGTCTACAGTGTGAATAAAAATCCTCCTTCTTGTCTACCGTGTGAATAAAAATCCTCCTTCTTGTCTACAGTGTCAATAAAAATCCTCCTTCTGATTTACAGTGTCAATAATAATCCTCTTTCTGGTTTACAGTGTGAATAAAAATCCTCCTTCTTGTCTACAGTGTCAATAAAAATCCTCCTCCTTGTCTACAGTATGAATAAAAATCCTCCTTCTTGTCTGCAGTATGAATAAAAATCCTCCTTCTTGTCTACAGTATGAATAAAAATCCTTCTTGTCTACAGTGTGAATAAAAATCCTCCTTCTTGTCTACAGTATGAATCAAAATCCTCCCTTTT